AACAACAACAACAACAACAACAACAACAACAACAACAACAACGACAACGACAACAACAGTAACAACAAACCAACAACACTAACAACACAAACAATAGCACCAGAAACAAAAACAACACCACCAACATTAACAACAACAACAACAACAACAACAACACCAACAACAACGCTACAAACAACAACACCAACATCAATGACACCACCACCACCAACAACAACAGCAACAGCAACAAAAACAACAGCAACACCACCGTCAAGAACCACAACAACAACATCATCAACAACAACAGCAGAGTCTACTACAAGGGCGAAAAAATCGAGTATCTTAGAAAAAGGGACAAGAAAACTACCTCTCACAACAGCGACAACTGCAGCAACCACACCAAAGGCGACGGAGAAATATGCCGGGAGTACCGACATGAGCAAGGATGACACGACCACTACCACTGTCGTTGCTGAACGTGTGACTTCATCACAAGGTCAAGATAGAAGCACAACAGATGATGCGGATGTATACTTTGATTCTCTCTTCTGAAAACTTAAGGCGTTTGTATTTTAGTAAACACCTTTGTTATGGTGTTTCCTACTACTACTACTACTACTACTACTACTACTACTACTACTACTACTACTACTACTACTACTACTACTACTACTACTACTACTACTACTACTACTACTACTTCTACTAATACTACTACTAATGTAGATTATTTCTATAGCGCCCACCCGTGTGAACACAACTCTAGGCGCTTTACAAAAATGCATGTACAAAAGATATTCACACACGCACACACACACACACACACACACACACACACACACACACACACACACACATACATATGGCCTCTAAAACCGTCGCTGGTCAATCATTTTTAAAAGAAAATTTCAAACCTATTCGGTAAACATCAATAAATAATAATTTTTTCTAATATCCCGGGGAAAAGGGCGGCCTTGTGGGGGGGGGGGGCTCCCAGGTTATTTTAAAAGAGCGAAATATTAAAATATTAATATGAAATTAGGATTAGACTGATAGTTCGAATTAAACCCATGAAACATTGATTTAAAAAACAAACAAACAAAACACAAACAAACAAACAATAAACAACAAAACGAAACAAAACCACAAAACCTTATGATCTGCGCGACATGTATGGAGTCAAATTTAGAGAAGAACGGATAAGATTGAGTTGAGCAAGAAAATGTATACCTGAGCATTTAAAAGATGAAAATTAAAATAATAATATAATCAGTTACCTTTTTGCGCTACATAGCCCAAAGGGGCGTGCTTATTTGGGCTACTTCTTCCGGTGTCAGGGCGGTCTGGGGCAGACATTGACGATCATGACACCCATTTCCTTCTTGTTGTCTGTCTTCTTGATCAGCTCGGTTTTTCTCTTTGTCTTATATTCGTTGCAAATTTGTCGGGGCCATCTATAAAATAGTATAGGCCTAGATATGTCTTTTGCCGTCCTCTCCTCTTTTTTCCTCTCTATCTTCCCACCTAGCTGCTGTTTCTCTATTCCATTTGATCTGTTTATGTGGCCAAAGAATCCCAGTTGTCTTTTTCTGATGGTTCTGATTATAGATCTTTCACAACCGGAATCTAGCCCACATATCATCATCATCAATTCCTTTCACCCCATGGCAGGGTATAGGTCACATACCAGCTCCTTCCATCCATCTCTGTCCTGGGTCATCCTAGCTCGTTCCAAGTGAGCTTCATCTCTCTCATGTCCCTTTCCACGCATCTCCTCCATGATGTTTCCCGTGGCCTACCCCTGCCTCGTGCTCCCTGTGGGTTCCACTGCAGTGACTGTCTTGTGATGTTTTCCCTGGGCTTTTTTAAAGTGTGTCCTATCCATCGCCACGTTCTATATTATGTATAATTTTGTCCTGTCCTTTCCTCTGCTCTTCATTTCTTATTCTATCCTGTCAATTAATTCTTAGAATACTCCTCATGTTGATGAAAGTCTTGACTTTATTCAGTACTGTCTTTGTTGTCTTCCAAGTTTCGCAACCGTAGAGGGGCACTGACTTGACGTTGGAGTTAAAGAGTCGAATCTTGGTGCGCAGTGAGATGTTGCTTGCTTTCCAGACTTTTGATAATTGATTAAATTCTGACCTTGCCTTGGTGGTTCTTGCTTTAACATCTGCCTCGGTTCCACCTTTAACATCGATGACACTTGTAAGGTTGGTAAAGGAGTCAACTTTTTCCAAGGGAGTGTCTTCCACTGTCACAACAGGGATTGAAACTTGTCCTAGGTTCACTACTTTTGACTTGCCTGGATGTATTCGGAGGCCAATACTCCTTGATAGGCTGTTGAGTTCTTTAGTCTCTTCTTGCATCTGAGCATGTGTGTGGCTGAACAGTGCAAGGTCATCGACGGAGTCCTAGTCGTCCTGCTGCTGCCAAGGGGTCCACTGTATTTCATTACGCTTGCCTCTGGTGGCTTCTTTCAAGACCCAGTCAATTGCACGTGTGAAGAGAAAATGTGAGAGCAAGTATCCTTGTCGCACTCCTCTCTGTACCTGGAATGGTTCTGAGAGTTGTCTTTCGTGGAAGACTTGGCAGTTTGTTCCATCATAGGTGGCCTTCACAAGCTTGACGATTTTGTCAGGTATTCCAAAATGCCGCTTGAAGCCCAAATATGATATCCCCAAAATGTAACAATGTTAGTGCCTGTGCAGTGCGGTCTAAAACTAAAAGGCTATTAGCTCCTACGTGGTGCTCTCGCTGGTTCCCACGAGTCGGGGATGCCGGCTCCCCTCTCCTCACACACTTCCTGGGAGAAAAAAATTAACCTAGTATCACAGTATTTCTGCAG